TTTCTGTCTGCCTGATTGGATGCTGCCTGATTCATGAATCAGTGAATAAAGCCAATAAGATCTTTCAAATTAACTCAGTTGAATTTTGTTTTTTAACACTAGTTCCATGAAGATTTCTAACTTACTTATCTCCTCTTAAAAGGCAGTAAAGGGAGAAATCACCCTTGCAGTTATTTCGTGTTCATCAAACTTTATTTCTACGTTGAAAAACACCATGAATCGACATTTTGTATTCTATTACTAAGTAACACCATAAACTTAAAGCTTGCTTCATTTAACAAGAAAGTCTAAAGCACATAATGTGCAAAGCATTTCTGAGTTTGCCTTCATAAAATGAATTAAATCTGTGAGTTTTGTGTTTATGAGGACTAGAACATTCTATTTTAAAACATTGTGTTATTCAGCAAATGACTAATTCATTTTGTTTTTGCATGATGTATACTGAATGCCTACTGTGTACAGAGCTGGGTTAGGTGCTGGGGACACAGTCCCTACCTCACAGACCTTACGAACTGAAAGTCTGGGAAATCTTGACTGACTATACATTCCAGGTTTTCATGCAAAAGAGTTATTGTTTTCATTTTCAAAAGTATATCACATTCTCACAGTAATACCACTTTAGAATTTTACTTCGAAACTGGAAATGAGACAACGAAAGGTAACATTAGTTTTCATATAATCTTCTTGAAAAATTAGCCCAGATTACTTTAACAGTCCCTTTACTATCAGAAGAACAGGTCTTAAGAGTTATAGCACTTCCAAAAAGCAGAAACATAATGAAAAAAAAGCCTCAAGAACATTTTTTTAATACCTCTTTAAAATGAATTACATTTAACATAAATCAAAATGTGCCTTAACATACCCATGAGGAAGATGCATAAGATGGCACATCCGTTGAAATAAAAACCTGGTCACAAACCACTCATCTCAAGTGCCAAAAGCAGAGGAAATGGAATATCCCTTTTTCCCTAGAAAGGTTCTGTCCAGTTTCAACATTCCAGTGCCTCTCAGAGGCCACTTTCCCACCCTCTGAGGAGGAACCTATGGGTCTACACACACCACCACCCAATGTTGTCAATATCCTTAAAACTCCCTGAGCACCCACAGCGCTCATGTACCTCATACACAGGTAAGGTAGAGACGGTTAGGCAGAGCCTGCAGGATCCATTAGCTAGTCCTCCGAAAATTAGAAAATACATGATAAATGACTCTTCCTCTGTCCTGGAAGTCCCTGCCTTCTGCACCTTAGCGTTCAACTCCCGTCTGCAAGGAAGGTCAGCCTCCTTCCTGGGGATTCCGTTATTTCCTCTGGCCTTCGATACAGCAGAGAGACAGTGGCCGCTGGGGTGGCGGGCCTCAGGTTTGCTTGCTGCGAGCTCCTACCTCACCCCTCCAGCCTCTCTGGCCTAAGCTCACCAAAGGGTGGCCTGAGGGGTGGGGGAGGGCGGGAGGACAGCAGAGATTGGGACCCCGCAAACCACAGTGCCCTAGGTCAGGTTTATCCCCATCTCCATCCCTCCCTCCACTTCCCACCTTCCACCCGAGATGCCCTTTTCCCCAAGGCACCCCTGGGCCCACCATTCCCCCCTTTCTCCCACAGCCACCAGTCCAACCCTCTGCGGCTCTCTGAGACGTCCCCGGGGATGGCAGCGCCCTTACCAGGCTCGTGGACACCGGGGTTGTCGGACAGCTCGATGACCAGGAGCTCCCGGCCCTCGAAGCTGCGCCCCACGGTGTAGATCCTGCTGATGGCGGTGCACTGCAGCCACACGGACACCAGCGCCTCGCGCAGCTCCGGGTAGCGGTGGTACTCGAAGGAGATGCCGTCCTCCTGCTGCAGCCGCCGGCGCCGCCTCATGCCCGCAGCGGCTGCCCCGGGCTCCTGGGCTTCGGCGCCCAGCAGCCACCCGCAGGCAGCCAGCGCCCCACACAGCACCAGCAGCGCCCAGCCTCCCCGCCCGGCCATCACGCTGCTGTCGCCGCCCGTGCCTGCCTGCGCTGGCGGCCTCTTTTGTCTGCCCGGTCCGGGAACTGAGCTGGACGGCGCTGCGGGAAGACGGCAAGTTCTGCACCAGCCTCCTCACGCCTCCCCTTCCCGGGTGGAATGAGTGTCAGCCCGAGCGCTGGGGCCACCCAGAGGAGAGGGGCGAAGCCGAGCTGGGCGGGCTGCACTACCGGCCGCCGAGCCCAGGGGAGCTGCAGGAGAAACCACTGCGAGGAGGGGCCTCAGCGCCGTGAGCCGTGTCCATGGTAATCTGCTAGGGCTGCTTGCGTTATCTGTTGGCTCAGAACCACGTCAAAAGCCAGATGGCGCCGGGGGGGGTGACCCAGGTGAAATGACAGCAGAGGTCTGGGTTTGGGAACGTTGTTGTCATTCAGAGACTCATGACACTGCCTGTGGAAAAAATACTCTTGGGTTGTGAGTGACATCTATTCCAAGCCAACCCAGGTTTCCATCTTGATGCATCAAGAATTAAAGAATATTCCAGGAAAAGAAAAGAGACAAAAAGGAAACATTGGCAGCCACTTGCCTTCTCCCCATGACGTACCTTTAATAACTGTATTGATAGTCCAAACACACACCCAAGGAATGGGTTTTCATTAATTGCAAGGTCTGGCTGGAAAACAGAACACTTCAATTTAGAAAGTTAAGAGAATAACTATTCATTCTATAAATTTGCAGATACTGTCTTTAATTGTATGTATACACAGTCCTGAATTCTTCCAGAAAAAAAATTAAAAGATGAGACAATGCCATTTGGCAGTGCCTGTGCCAATACCTTTCTGTAACATCCTTGGAGAAAACAAAGTACAACTCTGGGGGTGCCCTAGACAAAGGATTTAGTTTGGTGTTAAGATTAAATCTTTCAGGAGCAGCTTATCTGGTTGGCTCAGGGTCTCTTAACAGGTTGTAAGCAAGATGTTGACCAGGACTGAAGTCATCTGAAGGCTTGATTGGGGCTGGAGAACTTTCTTCCGAGAAAAAAAAAAAAGGATTAAATCCTGTTACAGTAAAAACTCTGATCATGAGGGATATC